TTGTAGATGTGATTAACCTTTACAGTCAGTTGACTCTAAATAAAGGAGATCATACACCATAATGTACATAGGCCTCATCCAATCAGTTGAAGGCCTTAAAAGCAAAAACTGAAGTTTCCTGGAGAGGAAGAGAAGGGATTCTGCCTCAAGACTGTAACATGGATATCCTGCTGGAGTTTTCACCCTACTGCCTGGCCTACTGATTTTGGATTTGCCAGCCCCCACAATCACATGAGCCAACTCCTTAAAATGAATATCTCCATCCTATTGGTCCTGTTTCTCTGGAAAACCCTAATACAGTATGTACAAAAATTAGTACAGGAAAAAATACTCATGTTCATAGTAATCAATGTAAGGAATAGGTATGACTATTGGACAGACAATGCTCTTCTTATTGTTTTATAAAGCACCACAATCATGAATAGCAACTAGGGAAAATGAGAAACAGCTTCATGACAAGGCCAGGCTTCAATAAAACTTTAGTATGTAAGACAATCCCTCAAAGTCCATGCTGGCCACACCTTCCAGAAACACCGCCACAAGACCTCAACACTTGTATGCTGAGGTGGCACTTAGAATTAACAAAGAAGTCATATTTTCTCAAAGTCCCCACTGCTATCAATAATTATTATTTTTAAAATACTACTTGGTATAGAGTGTTATGCTAGGAACTATAAAAATACAAAAAGAAATATAAGGCATGGTCCCTAACCACAGAGAGCTTAGTACAATACGCACAGGAAAATAAAACAATGAGTAACACAGCTAAGAGTGCATGCCTGCGTGTACATGCATATTTATCTTTTGGACCGGAATTTAAATCACATTTTCCCACAGAAAAAACAGCACAGAAAATGGCTAGTCTTCTGATACTCGTGAAGAGAGTGCTTTGAGCTCAAGTAGATACATGAGACTAAATGGGCAGCTCCTGTCTGGAGGCAAGATGAGAAGACAAAAAGGACAGGAGCTAGCTGAACGGGCACAGGAAATCTGGGGTGGAAAGGAGTGTGCTGTCACATTACAGGGAGAGCAGCTAGGGTCACATAGCAAATGTGTATAAATTTTTGTATGAGAAACTGACTTGAATTATAAACTTTCACTTAAAGCACAATTAAAAAAAAAGAGGTTAAGTTTTCATGTCACCCTCCAAACTTATTTAATATATATTTAGTTGAGTCTCAGTAGTTTTCCTTAGTTCTCAAAAGGATTCTCACCAAATTGAGGAGCTGACAGGAAAGCAGTGCTATATAGCTGGAAAAAGTATATTCAATTTTGTGATATAATTTTATGTTTAGAGAATGGAAAACTATTTTTTATAATATAAAAAACTATTTTCATTAAACAAATTTAGAAAGTAAATGGTAGCTATAACAAATATACAGCATTATGCACCAAGCACTGGTCTAATTGCTTAATGTATATACCTTATTTATCCTCATCATTTAACTCATTTTATTCTTAAAACAATCCTAAGGAATATCGTACTATTAGTATCCCCAATTGCAAGGTGAGTAAACTGAGGCATAAGTAATTTGCCCAGAAAGGGTAAGTAATCTGTCCAGTCATACAGCTTGACAAAGCTTCTTCGGTGGTGGTGGTGTTATGTTGTTTGGTGCCGTGAAATTGCTGCTGGCTCATAGTAACCCAACATACAACAGAACAAAACACTGTTCGGTCCTGCACCATCCTCAAAATCATTGTTATGCTTGAGCCCATTGTTGCAGCCACT